CCAACCCCCCCCCCCCAAACACACACACCCACTTCAACTTCGCACCTCCCCATAAGCACCCCCATTTCAAGACTTCTGGATACGCCACTGCTTAAAAACTGTATGATAAACATCACTGCACTCTCCTTACTTTTATGTGTTATGTAATTCAGCAAAGTTGTGTGTTAAGGATGGGGTGTCGCTAACTGCAGTCTTAAGATTGGTGCTGGTTTGAGCAGCTTCTGGCTCAGGGTTTGGTTGGTAGAATCAAGTTTTCTTGGAAGGACCTCAAATTGGATGACCAGTGTACCCATTTGATTTGTGTGTGTTTTATAGAACTCAATGCATCTTTCGGAAGAGTAGGGGTTTCCCTTAAGCTATGGCACATTTCAGTCTTGTCGTTATAGACTGATAAAAGTCTTATTAAATTTCTAGACAAAATAACTTTTTCAATAAGAATAAGATCTGCTTAAAGGAAAGGACTTCAGTGAAGGTTCATAGTACAGTAAGCTATTAGTAGACCTGTGCATAGTACACAATAGGAAAACTATTACACAATGGTTAGATTTGATGCTTGAAAAAATTTCCTGATGGCTTGCAAGGCCCAAAGGAAATTTTTGAATGCATTAAATCTAACTTAAGTTTAATAATTTGAAGGCATTTTATCATGTTAATCTCTATATGTCCGTGAACACAGCGATAGGGCCTATCAAAAAATTACCAGTGGAGGACATGGAGAAACAAGCAAATTGTTTCCCAAATGAAAAATACTACTGTATAAATTCGTAACCATTACGAATAAAAATTCAAAATCAATTCTGCTTTTAAATGAATAATAGCAAAGTTTGATATAAAGAGTGCATTAGAAGCATTTGAAACAAATTAATCAACATTTTTATTCTGGGCATCGACAGAAAACATATACAGAGGTATAAGCATAATTATACTGTATGTATACGCTATCTATCCAATGAACCCGTGACGGGGTATACTGTATAAAGGGATATCATGATACGAGTAACGTTGTACGTTTTAATAGCAACATCACTTACATTATAAGAGCACATTTTATAAGAAGAAGGAGGCTGTCGAAATTGCAGAAAATTAAGAGCAAAATAAGAATAAATTAAGGCTAAAATGCCACAAGTGAGTTTTTTATTTTTTAGTAGTAGTAGAAAAACCAATTACGACAGGAACGATTATACTTGTCTAAAGCGGGGTTGTATGTTTGTTGTGTTATGTTGCTGGCAGTACAAAAGATTGCACGTGTGGAGTCAGCGCTCTAGTATTCTTATTGTAACTCATTTGTACATTCATACAATCTTAATACTGTACTGTTATGTGATTCATTTTATAATGATTCTGGGAACAAGGTCACATTTTTTTTTATAATTAGTGGACGTTTTTCGATTTGGGGTGGGGGGGGTGCGTACGCACCCAACGCACCAGTGTTGTGGAACAACTTACCCAATTTCATAAGGTCATCTTCATCTTTGTCCCTTTTCAAATCATGACTTAAATCTCATCTTTTTTAACAATTTTAATGTTTTTTGTGCTTTTTAATATCTTGTTTTTGTTTTTTTTTTGTCTTTGACTCTTGGTAATAGAGAGCATTCAGATTACTGGTGTTGAATTATATGTAAAGGACCTAATGCCACTGGAAAATAAATAGAACAGAAAATTACTTATTATTAACAGTGTGCTGTACAATCTGCTGGAATGAATGTCAGTTTTAATTCTTTCAGATTATGGCCAAATGGTCAAATCAATATTTTAAGGGGACACTTGATTAGCTCCGCCAAGGAGGTTATGTATTCACTGCTGTCTCTTAGCAAGATTACACAAAAACTAATGAATTTAGTGAAATGGTATAATAATCAGACACCTTTCAATTTTCAGAAGAAAAGGTCAAAAGTCAAGGTCACAGAAATTTGATTTTGTACCCTTGAGCTTGAAAGAAAATAATGGAATAGTCCTTTGCATTCAAACAGCATCTAAGAATATAATGTTCCTGAATAAAACAGGTGATTCCATTATTTCAATCATTAAGGTTATGCTGCAGTTTCGTTTATCATTACAAGGCCTGCATATTGCTGGTACTGTATTCAGGCACAGGGTGGAGGTATACACTTTATTGGGTGACTGCTCTACTTTTTTTTATTGTTTCACAACAACTACAGCAGTGTCAAAATAAGGGAAAAAATCATTCAACTTCATATTTTGCGATTGCAGAGCAATACAGCATTCCATATTTCAATGTATTTAGTAAACATAGAGAAAATAAAAGAGGAGGTGGCATTCTTGTTTATGTGAGAGATCATATGACTGTCAATGTTCTGGAAGATATACAGGTACCTCCTGAACTAGAAATTCAGGGAACAATGGGGCGATGGCAGACAGTGAGGGATCAAGTGGTCATATCTGAAAGTATGTGGATGACCTGACTCTTGGTGAAAGTAGGTACAGTATTTACATGAGCCTAGTAACATCCAAAATGCTGTGGACTCTCTAATTAATTGGTCAGCAGAAAACAAGCTGAAGCTCAACCTTACCAAGTGTCAGGTCGTGCAAGTTTATTTTGGCCGAAAGGCACTTCCAGAGATGAACATTTGCATATCTGATTACATCCTCCCCTCGATAGAGTAAAACTCCTAGGTGTCATCCTTGATAGGGATTTGAAATGGGAAAGTAACACCAATGCTATTTATAGTAAGGCATGTAGAAAATTATTCATGATTAGGAAACTGAAACAAGCTGGTTTGGATCACTATGAGTAGACTTGTATCTATAAATCTTATATCTGCCCTCTGTTGGAGTATGGTGCGCCTTTGTGGAACTCTGGCGTCACTAGAGCACCATTGGCTTAGAGGGAATTCAGAAACGTGTATGTCGCTGTATTCTATCTGAGGCGTGTGTGTTGTATAAACGCAATAGGGATTCCGTGTGATTACAAACACCTGTGAAAAAGGCTACTTCAAATAATCCCCAAATTTGGTGGATTGGGATTCCTACTTGTGCCTGCAGGTAATATCAAGTGGTAATTATTCACTGACCAAGTCGAGGTCACCTTATACAGTACAGCTTATCAGTGAAAAACTTCTGCATTGTTTATTGAAGCCTTATATTATGCAGAATATCATCAATTGATTAAGATGTTAAAGTTAAACCTAAGAGAGTAATCTTGTAATTTTGTCAGATTATAATTTAAGTTTGTAAATTGCAGCTCTATTGTGAACAAAAGGCAAATTAAGGTAGAGTTTATTAACTTTCATTGTTCTAGTGGGAGACCGCTGAGGAATAGGCCTACTGTAGTGTTTACAAAACAATGGGCTGGACGGAAAGTGCAGTTAAGGTGTGCACTCCTCAGCATTTGGGGATAAAAACAAATAGTTGATTTTAAAACACATCCCACAATGCAATGCCTTTTGCTGTAACACGGTTTCAAAATTACAAGTATAAATGAGTGTCAATGGTGGAACGGCCTCCAGCACTAATTAGTGTTCAATGACACAACACCGTGTTCAATCCAACAGTGTAGTATAAACACAGCCTCTCAAGACCTTAAGTTTGTTTAGAAAGTTTATCAACCCATGGAAAGAACATATGTAAGAGTTTCGCTATAAAAGCTAGTGAATCCTGTAGATTTAGTTCATGGTTTCCAAAGACAAGCTCAGAAACATCTATTGCTTTAAGAAAGCCTAGAAAATATGATAAATTTAGATATAAAATCAACCGATATAAATACAGTCCTCTACCGTACCTTATACAGTTTCAAGAGACAGATATATATATATATATATTTTATGACCAATTTTTATACAAATTATAATAATTAGCAATAAAAATGTTAATATTGAAAACAATGTCTATGATTAATAATAGTAATAATAATAATAGTGTTACGGCCAAACGTATCATTTTATTTAATTGTCGGATAATAGAATGAACCGCTAGGTGAGGTTAGTCAGGTTGCGGCAGTCAGCCATGGTAACATCAAGTAGTAAGCTTCGTATTATCGTAGTACTGAACTGTATTTCATCACAAATCATACTTCTTTCCACATCTACAAGATCATATTAAATGGTTAGTTTGTGTAATGTTAGTGTAATTGTATAAACCATTAATATTAGATTCAATGCACTGATAAAGGCATGCGATGATATAATTGTTAGGCCTAGGACTGCACGTTATGCCCTGCGTGCAAAGTTTCCGAACAGTCAGGTACTGTCAGATAAACGTGTTTAGGGATCGTCTCCTATTCGCTAAGCATAGGCTTAAGCCTAGTGCATAGTAACGTTGTTTTGTTTATATTTTTCTACTTGCAGTCAATCAGTTATAGCAGTTATAGTAGAACAGTTACTGCCCAGTTACTGTGACTCTGTATGCTCAAAGAAGAGACAAAGAGAATTAAAAGATTGTGAAACTGCATTGACGTGTGTATGGTTTATTTGGCCCAATAAATAGCAACAATATTAATAATATCATAATAATAACAATAATTCTGCAATGACCTATAATGACCTATGTTTGTGGTTTTTTTAATTCCAATTTGATGTTTCATAATCTTGTTTAATTTGGTTGTGTGTGATTTTTGGATTCTGTGGTGTAAATTTGTGGTTGTCCTGTAATTTTAAAACTATTTTTCATACTTTGACGACTATTTGTACATTTTATCACAATTCAGCTTTGTGCTGCGTTATTTTGATTTTGATATTCTGAAATAAAGATACCTTGATATATTTTGACCCCTTTTGAGTCTTAAACTTAACATTAAACAGAATTTTATCCTCTGAATCCCTGGATTGAACATTGGTATAGGCCTAAACCAATTTTGTTAATTGTGACCCTTAAAAATGGGGATTTCATTTTTTTTTTGGTGTGGGTCTGTCCTCAACTATACACCAATGCTTCTTTCGTTTTACTTATATGTTATTGTCACCAATGCAACTACTTGTTTGCCTACCATTCAACAATCAACCTAGTGAGCTTATTCTATCCTAACGTAATGTAATAAATCATAGAATATTTAAAAATTATGGTGGAAATGATCTTTTTTTCAGATGAATCTGATGTTTCATTATTTGAAGTTGTAACAGTTACGCAAAACAAGTTAACAATAACATTTGAACATCCAGCCAAAATAGGAATGGCTTGTGGTAAGAGTTTTTTTTTATGGAGAGAGGTTTAAGTATTAGTTGTGGGGTGTTACACCTACAGTAAGATCATTTGTCACAGTACAGTAGTAGCGCTTCCTACCTACAGAACCGGGGCAGATGCATGTGTCTCCAGGCTAACATGATTATACCCCCAACTCTTAGCTAAATTATTCATGGCACACTCATTATTTGACTGCTGCATAGTCTTTCCACACCCCACCCCTATCCCTACCAGTAAACATGATCCACCACTGTAGAGCTTGTATATCTAATAAAAGTCGAAAAACAATAGAAACGATTCTGTGTTTTAGTCCAACTGTGCCAAATCTCCCAAGCCCCGACTAACCTAACCTAGTATTCTTTTTCTGTACCTAGGCCCTACCTTATAGGCCTGGCCCCCGGCCTAACTACTGTAGGCCCTGGCCTAACTTAGCTGGGCCCCTGACCTAACTAGGCCACTGGCCTAACTAGGCCCTAGGCTAGGCAATCTAGCTTTAAAAAGAGCCAAAGGTCAAACAAATTGCAAACAAAGGTTTTTCTTTTTTAATCTAATATGTATAATGAGGGGATGAAATTCCACAAATCACACCTCGGTCACACATCGGGAACATATGCAAATTAGCTAAAATATACAAATTAGGTTGAAAATGTAGGGGTCTTGTATCTTGGCAACTGCTGGTTGCAGGGAGTTAGTTACTTTTTCAAATTGCTCATAACGTGTATGTTTATATTTGCTCTAATGGAACATTTGCCTAAAAAATGAACAGAAATTCTACAATTGACCTCTGACCTTATATTCACTGAATTTGTATATCTCTGCAACTAATGTATATAGAATCTTAATTTAGGTCTTAAATTATTCAATACATGATTCTTTCCAATATATTAATCAAAGAGATAGAAATCTATAATCACACCATGGCCATATACTGTTCATATGCAAATTAGCTCTAAAATATGAAAATTAAAAATGAAAATAAAAGGTTTCCATATTTTGACAATGGCTAGTCACAGAGAGTTGCTTTCTTTTTCAGATTGTGCAGAATATGCATGTTTCTATTTGCTGTATTAATAGAACATTTTCCACAGAAAAGACTAGAAATGCTAAAATTGACCTTTGACCTTATAATCACCAAATTTACATATCTCTGTTGCTACTTTCCGTAGAATCTTGATTTAGATCCTAAATTATTTAAATACATGCTTCTTTTCAATATAATAATAGAAGGGATGGAAATCTATTATCACACCATGTTCACATGTACTGTTCATATGCAAATTAGCTGTAAAATATGCAAACTGAGAATGAAAATATAAGGTTCCTATATCTTGACAATGGCTGGTCACAGAGAGTTGCTTTCTTTTTCAAATTGTAGGGAATATTTGTTTTTATTGGCTCTAGCAGAACACCTGTCACCAAAATGGTCGGAAATGATACAATTGACCTTTGACATATTCACTGATTGCGTCTCTGCGACTTATGTCCATAGAAACTTTATTTACAAAACTTTTTTTTTTTCAAATTGTATGTGTGAAATATGAATATTTAAGTTTTATCGAACATTTCCTGCAAAAACTCAATACAAGTAAGACTAAAGAAATGATAATAGATTTTTGGAAAATTTGCAATAATGCTGAGCCTGTAACCATTAAAAACACGGAAATTGCTGTGGTCTCTGAATATAAATACCTAGGTTGCCTTTTTGATAATAAACTTAATCGGAAAAATATTACAGATATACTAGTAAGTCAGAGCCAAAACAGAATGGGGATCCTGCATAAAATGAAGTATATGAACATTGATAAAACTATATTAAGATTATTTTATAACTCTGTGATTATGAGTATTATGAGGTATTGTATCGTTTGTATCTTTGGAAATATGACCCAGAAAGATATAATGAGCAAATTGAATTATTGGGGATAACATGATGAATCTGGATTCCGCTTTGAATGAGAAAATTATTAAGAAAGTTAAAGATATAATGAATTATAATACACATCCACTGTACTCCCATTTTAACCATAGTTACTCAGGTAACAGATTAACTCCACCTATACTGAAAACTAAGAGGTTTAGACAGTCTTTTGTACCCAATTCTATCCATATATTTAATAGACGTGCCAAAAGGTGATTATCGTAATTCTCCATCCCTGCTAATTTTTAAATGGAATTTACTTGCATACTTCACTGCCTATATGTATTTTAATATAAATGCAATAATTTTATACTAGTTTAAACCTGGTCTTAACCATTTTAACATAAATGCAATGATTTTATACTATATGTATTTTAATATAAACGCAATAATTTTATACTAGTTTAAACCTGGTCTTAACCCTTTCGGATCTTAATTGCTATGCAGTAGGTCATCTGCATAACCATATTAATATTCACTACATGTTAATTACTATGTGTGTCAATTTCAAAGTAATTTTTGACAATCAAGATGAATGAAAGAAAAAAAATGTTCTATATAAAAAATATTTGGGAGACAATAAACTTTTATTTTTTATAAAAAAAATTATAAATTTATATGCATAACGAATGAAGAGCGCCCTCTATAGGTGAAAATTAATAAAAATTATGTAAAAAATGGGTTTTTTTCAAAAAAAATATAATTATAACATTAGACACAAAAGAAATGTTTCTTATAAATTGAAAGTACATTCATAAATCTTTTATTTGCCACCAAAATTGGCAAATTCAGTTCACAAATTCTTGAAATATGACCGAAACAAAATTCAGATCAGCTGAATGTAATATTGCGCAATGTGTATATCAATAAAAATAAAATGCATCAATATGTTTTTTGTTATAAACATTCTTTCAAATATATTCTAATAAAAATCTGATTATAGTATCTACTGTCCATGTTCTTTTGTAGTGTCACTAGTCCATTTTATTTATGCGATCCAGGACCTTGACAATCATATTTATAGTCTTTGAGTGTATGGAGCTGTTGAAAACATTTGTACTTGTGTACCGCAACATTACATTGGGGACACCAATTTGTTGTGCGACATACTTTTCCTTCCGGTGGTGAACATACAACACATGCAAGCCGTTGACGTTTTCCATTAGAAAGAAAAACTGGATTGAGAGTGTCCAAATGACGTTCAACGATACGCATAGGTGGAGGATTACTATAGTGTCGTCCACGCTTGTGAGGCTTCCGAATATAACCATCCAAAAGACCTGTTATCACATCTAGCCGTAGCTTGTTGCGATCAATTGAAGTACCACGATGATTTGCTTTATAAATAACTAGAGCATTTACAAAAGACTTCAAACAGAGCAAACAATACTTTTTTCCACCATTTAAGACTTTTGTGAACAAACAATGAGTGCCACATTTGCTGGTCAGCCAAATCCACCCCCCTCATAAACTTAGTGTACAACTCTATGCTACATGGTTTTTCAACTTCGATTTGATGGTTGGGTGCAGTCTTGTCCTTCACTATTTTTTTGAAGACATTCTCATTATGTATTGTTGACAAAACAGTTACCCTTTTTTTGTCCTGCCATGACACAAACTGCAGAATTCCATCCTTGTAAAATATTGGAGGGTCATGTTTTCTTTGTTGCGCATTCTTGATCACATTTGGTGTGCCTCTCCGATCACAGCGGAGGGTGCCACACGCTCCTGTTTGGTACATCAGTGCTAAATCTTTATGCAATTTTGGAGATGAAAATGCATTGTCCATGTACACATGGTGGCCTTTTCCAAGTAAATCATTGTCTCGTAACAATCTATAAACAATATCATAAGAAGCACCATTTACTGAAACAGGTACAGTTCCTTTTCCCGTGAATATTTCCCAGCCATAAGAATATCCAGTAGATGCTTCTGCCACACACCAAACACACATGCCAAATTTGTGTGGTTTTTTTGGGAGGTATTTTTTCAAGAAAGTTCTGCCTTTGAATGCAATTATACACTCATCAACACTAATTTCTCTGCGAGGATAATAACATGCTTGCCAGTTTTTTAAAAATTGACTTGTGATAGCAGAAACTTTGAACAACCGATCATATCCTGGTAATCCACGTGCTATAGCTAAGGCGTTATTGGAGCAATGCAAGTATTTTAGTATCAACAAAAAGTCATTTCGTGACATAACATCTGCAACAGAAAAATTCAAAAGCCAGTGTGTGCTCCAATGTAATTGAAAAGTTGGCAATTTTACAAGCCCCATGTAAAGAATAACAGCAATAAATGCTTTCATTGTATTCCTATCTATATCCTTCCATTGCTTAGCACTTGCACTTTCCGGATTCTCTGTTTTGTGTTCATTAGCATATCTATTAGTCTCAGTAACTAAGGTATCTAATACATCGGTTTCATGAGTAAGCATATCATTAAAAATATCCGAGATACTTGAATGTTCATCATGAACCATAGGCCCAAATGGTATTACGAAATCGGTCATCCAAGCCTCATCCGTACGGTAGGCATTCTCAAGCTCTGGTGGAACCGGGCGAGGTCGGTTCTGGTTGAGTCTAGGCCTAGGCCTAGCTTGTTGCGCCAGGGCTTCAGGCATTGCAAGCGGGGTCTCAGCATCAAGTACATTTCTATCATCCTCATCGGATGAAATAACATTATTATTACCTTCATTATTATTACCTTCACCATTGTTATCACTTGCACTGCTATTATCATCGTCGTTCGTGGAATCATCAGAAAAATCATTTTTGCTGTCTTCGTCACGAAATATTTCCAATAGTACTTCATCCGGATCAGTAAATATTTTATGATTAGACATTTTGCGTTATTGATGGAGAAGATTTTAGGATGATATTTGATGATTTTTTCTGGAAAATTTTGAATAGCAAGTATGTGTTTTTTTAGTTAGAAAATAAACTGTGACATGTAAACTGCATGCTGGGAAGGTTTCAGGTCATATAGACGTTTTCTCCAGTCGTAATTGTATTTCAAAGTAAGGAATAACAAAGAAACGCCTCAGCGTTCTGTGGCCATTCGCGGTTATGATTCTCG